ACATTATCATTATGAAGAGATTCTGATATTGATGTATTTACACATTTACATGTACTTGATGTTAAACGACTAAGTACAAATCCAAGAGATTGTTCAACAGCATAATTATCATCGGAACATGTATCTAATATTCGTGCACCTAATTCAATACCAGGTAATAAATGTTCATCATTATTAATTTGTTCTATAGCAAATAACATAGCTTCTAAACGTTGTATACCACGAAATTGACTAATAGCTCCACAAGGTTCTTGTGGACTTCCATATTCATGTACAGGAAATAATCCACCTAATGTAACATTACCTGTCCGACGAGCTGAGCGACTTATAGATAATGAACTAGCAAATGTTAATGTTGTACCATAAAGAAAGCAAAAAATTCGAGTAAAAGTCAAATAATAAAACATCGATTATTTTAGCCTAAAAGATCAAAAACTAATATAATCGACTTAAATTTGACATTTATATATTCAATGTGCATTTACACAAAACATTTTCTTTCTTTAATTCTATGGCTATATTTTCAGAAATTATTCTCTCTTGTTGACTATATACGCTAATCTATTTGACAAAAACAACCAAAAAAAGAAAAAACGAGAGAAATACTCTTCGTCACTCTCTAATATTACGAACGCATCTCCTTGCTTTCTCTCCCTTTTTTCTTAGTAATTACATAGTCCTTCCTGTCTTTCTGTTATTTTCTCTTGTTCTCTCAGTTTCTCTTCCTCTCTCCTAATGTATCACTTCTAACAACAATAGTCGATTGATTCGATTTTGATTTTTTTTTTTTTATTGAGAACTTTCTCCAAGGTACGACTATACGTCTGTTCTAGTTTCTATTGTGCGGTCGAAAGTCAATATTGATGTACTACAAAAAAAAAATCGACGTGTCATGTGTTAAATAAACTTATTGTCGGGCATATCAATACGGACACAAATATGAGTAGAGAAACCAATTTACTTTGTTTTTTTTTCGCACTATTTTATACATTTGTTCGTTCATTAACTTTTTTTTTCTCTTTAAACATGCAAACAAATTAGATTTGCTCTAATGCAAATGAACAACAAAAAATGATCATTTAATTTTCTATTTTTAAACATTCATTTTCAATTATAATCTGATAAAATAGAAAAAAAAACGATTTCCTATCATTTTAAAGAAAAGAAAAAATGTTTAGAAAAAGTGAATGAACATATAACTTTACCTTGAGATATATATATTATTCATTAATGTTTTTTCTTTTACATGTCAATTACATTTATAAATTTAAATTTTTAATATTATATTTATCTTATTTAAATATATATATATATATATTTCTTTTTCGTTTGTGTTTCTCCATATAATATTGACTGATTATGTTTGATGAGACAGACATAGTAGTCAATACATTGTACCGAGAGGAGAAATATTTATGAAAATTTCCTTCCTTCCGTATGTTTTATTTTTAGTTCTCTATATCGTTTAGTTCTATTTCAAGCGATATCGATAGGAACAATGATCTACATTATATAGGTAAAATTAAAAAAAAGAAAGTAATTTCTTTTATGTTAACGTTCAATAACTAAGCTTAGTCTTGAGTAATTTTTGTCCCTGTCATTCATCGTTATCTTTCCTTATTCCATAGAAATTTCCTTTGTCTTCAAAAAAAAAACGAGATGAATACATAAATAAAGTATGAGCAACGGAAAAATATAGTTAGCAATGCCAATAATAAATATGTGTGCACGCATAGACATAATATAACAAAGAATATATTAAGTCAAATCATTTAGTAACATATAAGATTTATTAAGATCTTATTTGCATGATTGATATTTTGTGTTTGATGAAAATTTTCCTTACTTTTTCTCTCTCGTATATACGAATTAAGTCAAGCGATAGATCATTCGAAACGAGTTTGTTGCATGTTAAATAGGTTCATTGCAATAATAATGTCTTTTTAAAACATATAGAACAAGACACATCCAAGTAGGTAGTGAAGCCGAATGCCGTTAGAATTCTTTTTCATAAAAAAATCACGTTATGCTCATATAAGAAGGGACTGTTCAGAAATCACGGGTGTAGATGTGTCTGTGGGTACGGATGGGTGTAGCTGTGGGTGTGGACGGATGTGGCTGTGGGTGTGGGCGGATGTGGCTGTGGGTGCGGATGGGTGTGGGTAAATAAAAAATGAGCCCATACCCACATTCACACCCACATCTACCCACATCCATCTAAACCCACATCTACCCACATCCACCTATACTCACATCTACCCACACCCACCTACACCCATACTCATACCTACACCCACACCCAGGGTAGAGACCCAAAATGATGAAAAAACTGATCACGTGGTTTCCGTGCAGCCCCTAAATACATGCATACAAGATGAATAATGTCTTTTTCTTTCAACTCATATCCTTTTGTCGGCATTTTCATTGTATACGTATGGATAATGATGATGATGTATCATTCGTGCGTATAAAGCTAGTATATATCTTTGAGAGTTATTTGCTTTATTAAAGGTTGAATCATTTAATTACAGAGTTCTTTCTTATTCGTTCTTATTCCGCGTAATTTACATTTTAACTAGTTTTTTTATTTTCGGACGTGTGCACTCATACAACATTAAGTAAAAATTAAACGAACGTTTATTAAACTTAATCATGAATTCATTTTTGATCGTTTCTTTTTCTTTTTCTTTTTAATTTTTTTCTTTTTTGTATTATCTAAACCACAAAGTTTCTTAACAAATTTTTGATAATCGAATATATTTGATTGATCAATCATTGAACACATTATTTGTAAATCTTTTATATTCAATGGCATATCACCTAAGGTTGTTAGATTTTTTATTAGATATTGCTTATCAATAAAACCTTGTTGTTCATCATCAAATATTTGAAATGATTCAATTAATATATGAGATATATCTTCATCTGTTAATTCCTCCCAATACAATGCAAGAATTGATTCAATTTCATCAAGAAAATATTCATCCGTGTCATACATATTTTCTAATTTAGATTTGATTTTTTCAATTGTACTTTTTGACATGTTTTGCCCGGATAAATAAAGTATTTGTTCCAAATCAGATAATTCTAAGAAAAAAAAGAGGAAATTAAAAAAAAATGTTTTCTTCAAGTTACTTTAGAGATTATAATTGCTTTTTTTTCTTCCTATTACTTGTTCAATGAATTATTTATAACATTTTCATTCATTTCTCTTTAGAACTTCTTTTCATAAAATATAATGTATATTTTCAATAGAATATATATAAAAAAAACAAGAAGATTCATTTTTCAATACTCCTCAAAAGATATATCTCATTGAAAAACATCAAATTATAGAATTTCAATATGAAAAAGGTGGAAAATTTACACTAATATGCTTTTCATAACAATCAAATAATATATTTTTAGGAATTTAATTAAAGCAGTAAAATTTTTAACTTTGTTATGAATTTCTGCTACGGTTCTTTCTTTTAAAAAGAAATCGATTTTTATTATAGAAGTTAGACGATGACTAAATATTATTTCTAAATACTATCAATGTTAAGTGAGCTCTCAATTTGGAGTTTACGAGTTTCAAGTTTTTCAACAAATTACAGCTTGTAACTATGTGCTTTTTTTCTTGAGCGTCATCAGTCTAGAGTATCTATTAGAGCAATCAAAAACAGATGATTACAGTTTTTAGGTAGAGTTTTTCGCGAAAACTTAGATACTCATAAACTGCAAATTTGGAGTACACTTAACTTGACTGATTTCGTTTTCCATTTCATTGCACAAGGAAATATAATTGTGATTCTTTGAAGGTAGATATTTAGATCTGGCGACATCCGTGATTTTTTAGGAAAGAAAAATCATTCATCTTTTATAATATTTTCTATAAAACACATGATCGGTTCAGTCATGAGATTTCTTAATATATGTACTAGCTTGGTATAAAGCGGTAATATGAAATTCTTGTTTTGAAAATTAGATCAAAAATAAAACTGAGATTACCGTATAGATTTAATCAAGTAAAAAACATAAATGATAAAAATGTCGATGACTTTTGAATAAAGTTTATCATATCCGGGTTCGAACTAAGAACAAGAATCTCTCGAGTATATAAGTAGTTACAACTCTATCTTTTGGCTATATAATGTCTACGATAGACTATGAATCGTCTGATAAGGATTCATAATCTAACATCTTAATTTCCCATTTCAGAGGTACAGAATCTTCC